AGCAAACGGTCTATTCTCTGTCACATTTTTTCTATTTTATGCGTTTCTTACCCAGTAAAATACAGTTTTAGAGATCCAGTAGAAAGTGCTGTGAGAAAAAGGGTAGTTCTTTCGGATGTTTTACTGCCCTTTTCTAATAGTAACCACCTGTTCTTTAAGAATTCCCCTTTCATCAATCATTTAAAAAAATAATTATCTAATTCTCTTAACTATTAAAAGCTCATTGAATAACTCTAATATTTCGCTAGCTACGCTCCTTGTAATTCTCTCACGTGCACTAAAAGAAAAGTCAGCAAACCTACTAACCTTATCTATGCGGCGGGGCTAAAGTGCAGGTCACAGGTCACAGGTCAGGTCACAGGTTACAGGCCACAAGTCAGGTTACAGGTCAGGTCACAGGCCACAGGTCAGGTCACAGGTCACACAAAAAACAATAGGACACTGGACAAAACTGTTCTGGACTGACGTTTTACTATACAAAAATAAAATAAGCCAAGGAACCTTGATGATATTTTTGTCCTTTAAACATTATTAAATTCCACACATGGAATAATATTTTCATGCTGATCATATGGCATATCCAAACTTCGTAACGAAATCACAAAGGTGTGCAAAATCATTTTGCACGAAAAACAAATCACATGTTTTTCACTGAAAACGAAGTGTTGTCGTGTTATTGGAATGTCATCTCCAAATAAACCTTGCAGCCAAGATAACTTCGAGCAAGTCATTGAAATGCAGCACTGTAATCCTTTGATACATCAGCAGTTTATAGAGTCAAAGATTCGTATAGGTAATAGCATTATTTGTAGTGATATTTGGCCTAAATACCACGAGTGATATTTCAAAATTGTTATACGTAATTTCACGAGCCGTTAGGCGAGTGAAATTTGAGACAATTTTGAAATATCACGAGTGGTATTTATGCCAAATATCACGTACAAATCATGCTATTATTTGTTTATACTACTACCCGCAAAAGGTTTGTAATTTTCACATGAAGGTATTTCAAATTAAGCTGAAATACCACTGCTCTAAGCCAATCAAATTGCAGAAATTTTTTATTTAGTAGTATAAAAGTTGTAATGGCGGAATGCTCCCACCTATTAAAAGGCCCACGAGGCAAATCCAACAGAGGTTTTTCAAGCTGTTGTACAACAGAACGTGAGAAAATGGCAAGCTCTTGGGAGAAGAGCCGAGAAATATGGTCCAGCAACTATTTGAGAGGCCCAATAGCAGTGTCTGAAGTTCTTAGCCCACTACACTTTAACATAGCAGTATTTTGTGACTGGTACGAAGCGCGAGCAACAGGCCGCCATCTTCAAAAGAAGTGGAAGACCGATCTAGTGGCAACAAGAGTTTAGGAAAAGTCTGAAAAAAGTTGCCGTATTTCAGTGGTCAAATAAGTTTTAGACTGTCCTTAAGTTTTTCTTCCGTTTTCCCGTAGAATGCTTTTCAAAACATCCACAAACAGGTCATAATATTCCTAACGCACCAACCCTTCGTTTTGAGATTCGTTTTTTCTAACAAATCATGTAATTTTGCGCACCTTTGTGATTTCGTTACCAACTTTGGTTACGCTGTAACGCAAGTCCTCCTTGCGTGATCAACATGAATATATTTTCTCATGTGTGGGATTTGGTAAAGTTCAGAACAGAAAAAATATACTTGAGGTTCCTTGGCTTGTTCTATTTTTGTATAATAAAATGTCAAACAAAAACAGTTTTGTGTGTTTTTGTGTGTGACCTGTGATCTGACCTGTGACCTGACCTGTGGCCTGTGGTCTGACCTGTGACCTGGCCTGTGACCTGTAACCTGACCTGTGACCTGACCTGTGACCTGTACTTTAGCCCCGCCGTTATCTATGCGACATCATGCCAGAGGGTCTTCGAACAGCAGAAGACTGAGCCCTCGCAGCAACTTTACGACGAGGAGTTTGGATAGAGTGCGAGCCAGCGAGCCATACAAGCGAGCCATGCGAGCCATGGCAGCGAGCCATGCGAGCCATCTGAAAACCTATCTACAGTGGGGGGGACTCTACACGAACGATGAAACCGTTTTCAAAACGCGCAAACACGTTTCTAAATCCTTTCTCTTGATTACGTGGTATGCCACTTTTAAAAAACTTTAAGAAAAGACAGTTAAGGTTTTAACACCAGAATTTAAAGCATTAAATATATTTTTGTTCGTACAGAAACAATGATAACAAGAACATAATATTATATTTCTACTTGCTTACAACAAAATGGTTGCTATGGACGTGACGTACGCACGACGACGAGTACGTCGCACAACATGGTACCCATACTGGTCAACTTATGCATTGCATACATGTATGCAATTTGATATTGGAGATCCATATTATAGTCAATTGACAGCTGTCAAATCAAGGTATCCGCTGACCAGTACCACATGACCATATCGTGGGCTCAGGTTGGAACTCATCGAGGTAAAGTGTCTTTTGGACTGCTGACCAGGTTATTGATTTTCATCGGATCGCCGGCTCAAATGTTTTACCAAATTATTAGAATGAGCCAAACAACCGGTGCTCCGCTTTTAGGCTTGGGTAAATCTATATATTATCTTGGGCTCCCTTAGTATGCTGTGTTTGATTTTTGGCCATGTTTGTTCTATTGAAGGTTGCTGTTGGTAGTCATGACCATAATCGGTAAGTCACGTGAACAGAACACAAAAAAACTCTATAAACATCTTTCTCCAATGAAAGAAAAGCCGACGGGTAGAGTGCATTTAGATGCAAAATCTGTAGCATAGAGTTATGACGTCACAAGAAGTTAATGAAATTTTGCTTCTCAATGCACTCTTCTCGTAGGTGTTGGTTTCAACACAGAAAGATGTAAGCTGGGCGAATTTAAAGGGTTTTCGTGTTCTGGTCACGTGACTTACCAAATATGGTCATGACTATCAAAACTGAAGGCACCTCTAACAGAACAAACATGGCCAAAAATTAACACAGGATACTAAGGGAGTCCATGCGACATCCATTTTTTAGTTAAGGGTCTTCCCCCTTAACAATCTTACAAGAGAACACCGAATATAAAATTATAAAGATGTGGACTTGCCAAGACACGCCTGAGACACCCCTCCCTTCCTTTTGATAGTCTCCCCTACCCCACCCCTACAATCTGTAGACGCGTTCGTACGTATGTACGTACGTACGCTCGGTCAATCACGTGACAACCAAACGAAAAGAGGTTGACCATATTCCATGAGTATGGGGGTCTGTCCCACGCGCGCTTCGCGCGCGCGGGAGCCCCACTATGAAAACGTTGAGGGGAAATAGAACTCAATCAAATTTAATACTACTACTACAATAACAATAACAATAACAATAACAATAATAATAATAATATTATTATTATTATTATTATTTGTCCCTACAGAAACAACAGCAGGACCATCTATTTCTAAGTGCTTAACAAACTCTCAAGAGAACACCAAATACAAAATTATGAAAACGTCGCGCCCAAATCGAGCTCAATCACATTTTTACTTTCAAAGGACAATGCGTGTGGGCTACCTTCTTGGAATTATATTCGAGTACCTATTATGAAAATGCACTGGTATCAAGAATATTTGTCACAGGTCAAGCCTGTAGAGCGAACCTACACTGATTATATTCATAACTGTCTGCATACACAACGCAACTATAATAATTAATTATATGTACTGATGAAACAACAGGATTTGTCCTTTGTATTATTATAGATACTATTTTTGTCTTTCACATTTGAAGATATTGGTCATGTTTAACCTGTGTCCGGTCCTTAATGAACCCCCTGGGCTTAAATAAGACTCGAATTATCTCTCAAGAGTGAGCGTAGCCAACAACGAGAGATACTAACAGCACTCGAAGATAAAATTCGTATCCTCGCACGGCCAATATAAGGGGCGGACCATTAGAAATTGCGGGATGGGTCCGACAATTCCCTAAATGAATTTCCTGCAACGGCAAATTTTCAAAAAGAAAATTCCTGCAAACAGTCAACAATCCAAAAAACGACTGACAAAAAATAAGCCTGCAGACAACTAGAAATTCATGCACTGGAAATCTTTTGCACCCCCTCGCGCGATTTCTAATGGTCCGTCCCTAATATCCTCTTTATGGTAAGAAGTACAAGCGGCAGTTCAAAGCTTACTCCAGCTCAGTTCAAATCTACCTTTTTGTTCTGGGGTCAAGGAAGGGCTAAAGGTTAGCATCATTGTCGAGGGACAAAATGGGTTGATGAAACTGTTTCTCAGAATCTTGGTAACACATTTTACGAGAGGACAAAAGTAGAACGTCCGTATTACCCACTTGCGCAGGATTGTACGATAGGGGCCTTCAGTGCTGACTTGCAAATCACCCATCTTTAACCCATTCGCCCCTGAACCGCCCATAACCGCCCGTGCGGATCCAGGTCCTTTCTACCCTTTGTGACGTCATCAGTTTTAACGGTCAAGGACAACTTTCTTCGCTAACTTATGTAGAGTGAAGAGATCTTTTAAACCATACCAGAATGAGCACAATTCAGTCAAGGACACCGGAGAAAGAAGCAAAAAACCACCTGACAAGGACCTGAAAATCTCCATGAAAATCTTGTTCCATTACCCACCTACCTTTCCTTTCACCTAATCCTAAGATCCTAAAAGCTTTCCTAAAAACTCTTCCCACCAAAATGAAGCCTACTAAATGTCCAGCAAGAGAAAAAAAAAATGAGGCAAGAAAAGCGAAAAAAGAAGGGAGGAGAGAAAGCGAAAAGTAAAAGTCAAGACTGCTGTGTCACTTTTAAACCCAAATCTCGAAATTTTGCTTTCTGCGCATGCCCGAACTTCGCAAGCTGATATTTTGCATCTGGATCAGAAGGCCGCCAAGTGTACGACCTGTAAACCGGTTTGTGGTAAGTTTTAGCTCTTTATAGTACGACAGTGACCAGAAAACCACTCGACTAGCTTCAAAACGCGTTTTTCGGCAAAATCTCCAGGAGCGAATGGGTTAACTCTGTCTTGCAAGTCGCACACTTGGCAGTTCTTGTTGTTCTTGAACTGACGGAATAACCTTTCTCAGCAAATGGCGGAATTTGCGTTACTGGTACTGATTCAGGAAACGCGTTCACCAAGTTGGTCCATTCTAGGGATGTAAATTTCTTTTTGTAAATAAGTGGTTCCTCTTTTTTGAACCCAAAAATGTGGTAGAACAGCCAGATCATGTGTTGACATTTCTGTCTGCATGCCAAGGAAGAAGAGCAGACTGAGTCACTTGTAAGAATAACAGTCTCCAGGCATCCCATAGTGTCTAGCACTTTAAACTCGAATTTACTCATGGAGCTTTTGTATTCCTGCAGATCAAGTGTTATATTGGTGACGTACTTTTCGAAGTACCTGAACTGAGCATCGGTCACCTCTCTAGTGACTACCTTCCCTTTGCTGGTTTTTTTAGCTTTTCTTTTGTCCGCTCTATGGCTGTCCTGTGTGTTGACTCTGTAGTCACTCTGTGGCTTTTCAAAGTTCGTCAGGGAATCGAAATGATCCGTCAATTGATCGGCATTTTCGGAAATATAGTGCACAGCATCAGAACAGGCAGCTGTATTCTTTTTCAGTGTTGCTTGTTGCCTTTCACTTCGGTCAAACGCCGTTGGTCCTTCGCCTACCGTTTTAAGACCATTTTCTTGACGCTTAACTTCAGCTGCTTCAAGAATTGATGCAGAGCACTCTGCAGTGACAACGTCCAACAAGCGTTTTCTATAGCCAGAGGCGCCAATAGCCTTAGCGTTGGAAACCTCTGCAGACGATGCTGAGCTTGTTGAATATGATTTGCACCACTGCAGCCAGCGCACTCTTCTTCTCCACCACCATTTTTTGAAGTTCATCATTTTAGCTGGGTCCGACGAACACCTTTCAATGAGAGAGTCTAGAGCTTTCGAAGCCTGATCCGCTTGAATTGATGTTGGTGCGTTGGAAGCTTCGTTCATTAACTTTTTGAATTTATTTTGATCTCGACTGGTTTTAAAAAATTTGAGATGCCGATTTACATCCTGCTTCAAATGAAACGCATCGGAAATTGATTTGTTCTTGGCGTTGTCACCGTTCGCTTTCTGTAGACCACTCCACAATGCCCCTCCCTCATCACCAACATAAGAATGGGGGTCTAAGCCGTTTCCAGCAAAGTCATCGGGATTTAGATCAAACTCTCGGGCTACAGTGGGTAGAATTTTGTTTACAGCACTGTCAAAGGCGGTAACCATCCTCTCCACGTTCTCAGCGTTTTCACCGGGTTTCGGTGCAAACATGCTCACAAGTTTCACATTTCGTCGAAGGGTTGGAGAATAGGTAGTCATTTCAATTTCCGTGAATTCCTTCGCATGGCTTTCGCAGCCGTCCAAGCTAACGGGCTCTGTCACTAAGCCAAGCGTTATTTGAGCCGCGATGCGAATTTTCACCTCCGATGACAGGATAACATAGTCCTCCCCAACCTCCAGTATTAAGTTTTCGTCTAGACCACGTTTTACAAAATCTTCCTTTAGAACACGGATAGCCTCAATATCCTTTCCCCCAGGGCAGGTCTTTTGCTTTATGGACTTATGAAGAAACTTTAAGTGTCTTTTGTTACTATACTCCATAGCAACATTATTTACTTCATTTGCATCTTTTCCACTCAACAACGCCTCTCTGACTTTGTCAATTTGGAGCGCCTCAGGAGTAATGGTTGGTTTTACACGAAGAATACTTTCTTCATCTTCTTTCGGGGGTTTTTTCTCCACTGCTCTTGGAGTGCAATTATGTTCTCCAATATAGATTACTCTCATCTCTTTATGGCAGCGATCGTTCTCCACATATTTTCTTGCTGTGCACTCGATAGAATCTGCAGGATGTTTACAATGAATACAGTTCTTTGCTCTGGTGAAGTCGACTGTGTTCTTCTTCTTGTTTATTTTTTGAAATGGACACTTTGGATTTGGACACTGTAGTGATCCCCGACAAATCTGAAGGGTCCGCCTTCCTCCAGCGCAGAAACCCTTCCTCTTGCATGGTTGACTGCGACCCCAGTTCCAGTTGTCTGAAACGGACGACAAAGGATCTTTTTCATTGTACGAGACAAGGTATTTCACGGGAGCTATGGGCGTTGGGGGAACTGTTTCAACTTGTTTTTCTTCCATGTTTTCCACTTCCTCCTGGTTGAGGTAGGACCGACTGCCTTTTTGTGTGAAGATAGCATCCCTTAAAAAAAAAAAAAAAAGAAAGAGACCTTAAGACCAGATCACACAGTGCTTGCAATTGACATACATGCATAAATGAATGCATTATTGACTTTCCTCATAAGGACTTCCCAAAGACAATAATAATTAAATGATTACTTAAAAAATTAGAACCCCACGTTAATAATTATGGACACAATTTAATTATATTAAGTTGTTCAATTTTCAATTTTCAGGGTGTTCACCCATCTACCAGATGCCTAATCTTTGAATGGCTTTTCATTAATAAAAGAGGATTTGATTTTTCGTGACAGAAACAATGTCAGAGATCAGTTAAGAGGAAGGGAGGTCTGAATAGTCTCCTACTATTTCTTACTTTATGAAGAATGATAGGAGTTGATATCTCAAAAACAAAGAAAGTTAGACATCTTGACAAAAAACAAACCTGCAATCGGACCACACGCTTATAAAACAGACATGTGTTTTGGCATGAAATTTACCTTTCCTCAGCAAACAGCTTCTTTGGACAAACATCAGAAGAGCTTGCCTTTGAGGATTGAAAGATTTTGGAGGGTGTACTCTCAGCAGAACTAAGGCCACTCATACCACGGGACAGCTCCTCCATGGTGGAATCCATCTGAAATATTAAAGAACATACCGGTAATTTTTTTACTTTTGGACTTCACCTGTGCAGGCAAGGGCATGGGAAATTTAAATCACCTTGTTGCATCCGCTGAACGTACCTGTTTCTGGATTTTCTTCTTTTTCTGTTTTTTGACAGGAGTGCTGTTGCAGGAGCTTAAACCACTGAGAGCATCACAAAGATCATCAGAGGAAGAAACCACCTGCATGTTGAAATGGGGAAAAAGTGACTTATTTCACATCCATATTAGCTGACTACTGCATGGTGCAGGTGGAGCACCACCGTTAAGATAAAATGGTATGCATTTTCCCATCGAGTCTGTTTAGGGAACATCAAAACAATTTTGGTTCATTTTGATGACATCAGTGATAACGATATCCAATGCGAAGTTATAGTGACTGAGTACTTTACCTCCCCCGACAACACAACATTGGGTTGCCTTGTGGTGCTCAGAGAATAATTCACATTATTTCTCAAAAAGGGGAACACTGTCAGAGAACCAACAATTAATTTCTCTAGTAGTAACGATTGGCGCAACTCTTTTTAGATAGAGCTCAAGGTGTCATTACATCTACAATATGTAATGATGAATACCATAAGGATGAATAATTTGGCAAACACTAATAATATTGTAGAAGTAAACATCAAAATTTGATGTTTTAATTTAATTGTAGTCAAGCCCAATGAAAGAGTGTACATGACATTCTTAGTTGTAAGAGATTTGCTCCTTTCTGGGTAGAGGGGGACAGGGGGCAGGAGCCCCGGAGAATAGGGGGCGGGAGGGGTACAGGAGGCGGGAGGGGTACAGGAGAAAGGGAGGGAAGCGGGAGAAAAGGAGAAAAATTTTGCCATGTTGCGTAACATTTTACAATAGAAATAGAACAAACAGGCTGGAACCCCTAAGGAAGGGGGCGGGAAGCATGAGTAATAGGTAGGGGAGGCCTGAGTTTCAGGCCCCCCTGTCTCCCTCCACTTCTGGAGTATTTGCTCCATTTCTCTGAGTACTGTAGCTTAAATCATGTGATATCTTTTAACTAAGTTTTTTCTCCTGAAAAAAGATGTGAACTTTACTTTACATAAAGCTACATCAGATAGAACTACAGTCAACTCCCAATAACTCAAACCTTCAGGGGAAATAGAAAAACGTTCGCGTTATCTGAAGTTCGAGTACTGGTAATCGAGGGTAACTTTATGTAGAAAATGTCCTGAATGGAAAATGAAAATTACTTCGACTTAGTTGGAGGTTCAAGTTAGCGACGGATCTAGTTATCGGGAGTCAACTGTAATTCTCTAGTAAAAGCTTTAGTTAATTTTGTACATACTTGAGCCTGTTTTTTCTGCCTTTTACGTTTTCTTTGGCTGGTATGGGATGGAGCAAACACACTTTCTTCCATGCTTTCCCCAGATGACAACACCTATGGTAATGTCAGCATATGGATCAATTAATGATTTCTTATTTTTTTCAGGACAGTGTTACAGAATGGAATTTTTTTGATGAAATTTACTCTCATGTAAATAAAAGATCTTAAATAAAATAAAGTTATTTATATACTCACTATTTCTGGGACATCATGCTCCTCATCAGAGCTGATGAAGATTGGGCGACCTTTGCATTTTATTTCTTAGCTCCATTTTAGTATGTGGACTCTGGACAGGTTCTGTCTTGACATCTTCCAACTATTCCAAGAAAGTATAGAAGTATTTCCATTTCACGAAATGACCAAAAATCATTTCCAGTTAAGCGAGACTATTACAAGGACGTGTAGCACTGTAACATCATAAGCCTAACTTTTTTAAATATTGGAAGCTTGCTGCCTTCCTTAAAGTACTATACTACACATGTACACCACACATTAGCATGGCCTCACCTTCATTGACTGGCCCTTGAAAACACTTATGCCAGGGTTGAAGCCCTCAGGTCCACAGTCAAAGAATTGTGGTGCACCCCTGTGCTTCTCAGGTCCTATAAATTAACAAATACAATTGATTAATCCCTTGTTGTTAACCAAAATTTAATCTTAAATATGAATTGACTTGTCTGGAACTGTGCCAGTTCAACTCCTTATGAAAAAAAAAAAAAACAGGAAATTTTACCTGAAACAGAAGGTGAGCTCTTGTCTGCACAACTGAGACTTCCATTTACAGCTGACAACAACATTATTGT